ATGGAACTATCCCCAATTGGAATATTATCCTGAACTATCTAATAGAAATATAATGCAAATAACATGTAATTTTAAGTTTTCAAGTATCGCCTTTAAAAAAACAAAAATCATGTATAATATGTAAAATATATAAAATTTATTTTAATCACATTTTTATATAACTTTATATTTCTAAAATGTCATTTTAGCATAGAATCAGTACAAATGATTAATTATATATTTTACATTCATTTATTTATAAAACACAGTGCAGGAAATCAAAAACTCTCTCAAAAGTATTAACAGCAGATAAGATCATGCAGATAAAAGTATCTCTGACTGCAAAGACAAAACCTCTGATTTAGACCAAGCCATGGAAAAGAATGGAAAAATAACTATTAAAAACTCTAGACACTATTAAGTGGTCAAATATCTGCATAACAGGTATTCCAGAAGACAAAGAGACAAGGGCATAGAAAATATTATTCATGAAATATCCAAAAACTTTCCAACTTTAGGGAGATATAAAGACATCTCAATTCAGGTGATACAAAGAACACCAAATAGATTCAACATAAGAAGGTCCTCTCCAAGGCACATCATAATCAAATCAGTAAAAATCAGAGACAAAGACAGTATTCTAAAAATGGAAGGAAAAAAAGAAATGTTAAGTTACCTATAAAATGTACTTGGGTAATATTGAACATCTCAATCAAATAGTGTAAGCAAGGAAAGGATAAGAAAACATATTTAAAACTCTGAAAGGAAAAAAAAAATGTTTCAGCCAACAGTACTATACCCAACAAGATTATCCTTCAGATGGGAAGGAGAAATAAAATCATTCCCACATAAACAAAACCAGAGAGAATTTACCAACACTAGACCAGCTCTTCAGGAAATACTTAAGGGAATACTATATCAGGAAAATGAAAGGGAGATAAATAGAAATAAGAATACACAAAACAACTAAAATACTAACAAAATGACAGGGATAAGTCTGCACTTACTGAAAGTAATGTTGAATGTTAATGGATTATATCCCTCAATTAAAATGTATAGATTGGCTGAATGGATAACAAAACCCAGGAACCCTCCATATTCTACTGACAAGACACACACCTCAATGATGAAGACAGTGACGAGACAACCTACAGAATGGGAGTAAATATTTGCAAACTATGCTTCAGATAAGGAATTGATAACAAGACTATATAGGCAACTCCAGCACCTCAGTATAAATATACAAATAATACAATTTAAAAATGGGCAGACAAGGTACCAGCAGGTAGCATAATGGTTACATCACTATACTCCCACAGTTTGAGTCCCAGATCCCGTGGCTTAAATTTTGCCCGGCACATAAGCATATGTGCCCAGGATCCCTAGAGGAGATTGGAGAAGAAGGGATTGTGGCATGGCCATCCTCCTAGGGGGCGATTTCTCACTTTCTGTTTCTCTGTTTCCATCTCTCTGGTGAGCACAAGACCCCATGGCAAAAATCTCTCTCTCTGAAAAATCCCCCCCCCTGAAAAAAAAAAAAAAAAAAAAAGGCAGATGAGATTAACAGACAGTTCTCTAAGGAAGACTTATGAATAAAGAAATATGTATGAAATATGTCAACATCTCTTATCATAAGAGAAATGCAAATCAAAACCACAATGAGATACCATTTAATCTCAGTCAGAATGGCTGAGTTAAAAAAGAGAAAAAAGGGGAACAGTAGGTGGCATGGTGGTTAAGGCACTGGACACTCCCATATGGCCTACCATTGTTCCAGTCCTAGACCTGTGGCTTGCTTTTTCACTTTCTCTCTCGACCATAGTTCCAGTCCTAGACCTGGTGGCTTGCTTTTTCACTTTCTCTCTCTCTTTATGTGTTTCTCTCTCTGGTCAAATTAAAATAAATAAATGAATAAATAAAATAAAATAAGTAATTCCTTAAAAAAAGGTAAAAGAAAGAAAAAAGTACTGCTGAGACTGTGGTGACAAGGGAACCCTTTTACACTGTTGATGTGAATGTAAATTAGTGTAGCCATTGTGGAAAACAACATGTAAGTTCTTCAAAAACCTACAACTAGAACTACCACATTACCCAGTAATCATATTCCTCATGTTTAACCAAATGATAGGAAAATAGTCAGAAAAACACTCGCACATCCATGTTTATTGCAGCTTTATTCAAAATTGTTAAGAGATATAATAACCTAAGTGCTTATGTCTGGATTGAAAAATTATGGCACAAGCACACTATAGAACATTACTCAGCCATAATGAACAGTGAGATTCTGTCATTTGATACATAGTGGATAAATACAGAAGATTAAATAATAAGCTAAGTAAGCCAGACTATAATAGTGTATATCCCCATTCAATATATACTGAACATTTGTACTCTGGCAGACATTGAAAGATCCTAAAATGTAATAGCAGGGAGGATGAGTGTGGATATCAGAAACTGTATAGGAGGGGAGCGGGTAGTAGAAGTTAGGAGGGAGGGGCTCAGAGAAAAAACACTTGACAGGTGCAAGACTGTAAAGTTCTGTGTTGAAAATCACATATATGGTACTATCCTTGATTTGACTGTCACGTACTGCATGCATACCTTGCAAAAGATATTGTGTGCTATAGAGATGTACAATGAATGAATGCAAATAAGAAATCTATTTTTTTGAGAGGTTTATGCTATAGGACATTTGTGATTGCTGGAGAGACAGAGAGACAGAAAGTGAGAAATCACCCCCCACCCCCTGAAGGATGGCCACATTGCAATCTCTTCTACATTCTCCTCTTGGGATCTTGGGCACACGGGCACACATGCACACATGCACTCGGCATGAGTTTTTAAACTGCTGGGACAGGACTTGGAACTGTGGTCAACTACATGGGAGTCTAGAGATGTAACCAGTACACCATCTGTTGGTCCCAAGAAAGAAATTATTTTTAAAAAGTCCAAATCCTTACAATGGCTTATGAAGCCCGATATTATCGGGGCCTTCTCCCATTATTTTTCTTACCTCTTTTCTACTACTACTGCTCTTGCTCACTCTGCTCCAGCAATATGGACACACTTATCTAAAATGCTTCAGATACACCAGACATTGGAGACTTTTTCTACCTGTTTCCTCTCTGAAATGTTTTTTTCCCACACATCCATGTGACCCAAACTATCACTTTTTTGTCTTTGCTCAAATGTTTCTTTAGTAGTTTGAACTATAATTCTTTACTTTCAGGTAAGAATAAAATATTTACATATTCTTGCCCACCAAGTCTCATGGTGGTTGGACTTTGGCTTCTTTGTCCCTTAATTAGGAATTGGCCAGTTTATTTGCTTTGGCTGGGATTTCAGATGTATGACCCGAGCCAAGACTTGAAATGTTCTTGTGTGATTAGGCTTGATCTCTTGTGTTCTTGCCTTTCATTGTGACAAAAATAGGCCTCCAGGGGCCAGCAGGTGGCATGGTGGTTGGGGTGCTAAACAGCCACATGGCTGACAGTGGTTCGAGTCCTGGGCCTGGGGGCTTGTTTTCTCACTTTCCTTCTCTCTCTCTGGTGAGTGCATGTGCCCTATAGCAAATTAAAGTAATAATAATAAGTAATAATTAAATAATTATAAATTAAAAAAAAATGCCCCCAATAGTCATTAGTGTAAGGAAGATCAGCTATATATATGGAGCGGATCTGCTTCTGACATACAGCCTGAAGCCAGGTCTATCTAGTTCTTGCATAGATTACTTGAAAATTACCTCACTTCTGCATGAGTGGGGAAGTAAACATTTGTGATTATATGCCACTGGGTGTTGTGGTGGTTTGCTATGTAACAATAGACTAGCAATAGAGTCACATTTTCAATGAGTCATACTTTGACTATCCCATTTAAAAAATGATGTTCTATATCCCTTTGCCACTTTCCCAGTCACCCTTACTCTACTCTTTTTTCTTCTATAGTCCTAACCCATCCCTGGCTAGAATAAAAGCTCCATAAGGACTGGGATTTTTCCTTAGTTTGCTGAGGTCCTGCAGGCACCACGTGCAGAGCTGACACATAGTGTAGGTGTTCATGCAGTACTGGTTGAATGACCAAACTTCAAATGTATTCTTACAATTATTTTATATTATAAAGAGTTTCATTCAAGATTTCATGGGGGGAACAATGGTACATCATCCACCATAGCTCAGGCACAACAAACTGTACTTTAGAAATCTTTGATTGATTTCATCAAATTCTTGGACCAATAGAACACGAAGTTTTCAATTTTCTTTCCTATATACCTATCTCCTCAGTAGTTATGCTCTTATTTTTTTTTGCCTATGGCAAAATCAATGCCATAGGAGTAATTGAATAGTGATCAACTATTTTTTTCTTTTCTTCTTTTTTTCTTCTAATTGTCAGAGGACATTGTGTGTTCATGAGGAGGAGGGAGGGAGGGAGAAAAAGAGAGGAAAGAAAGAAAGAAAGAAAGATAGAAAGAAAGAAAGAAAGAAGGAGAGAAAGAGAGAAAGAGAGAAAGAAAGAAAAAGAGAGAAGTACCCCCTAATGAGGCATGGTCACACTGTAATCCTTTTGCCTACATTTCTCTGTCTTGTCAAGATCTGGGGCATGCATACACATGCAATCAAAGTGTTTTTCAAGCTTCAGAGGCAAGGATTCAAACCACAGTAAGGCATGTGGGATCTAGCTCTCCATGGATAGCGCTTAACTTCTGCACTATGGAGCTGGCCCCAGCCATTTTCTGTTTTATGCTTTTTATCATTATTTCCCATAACCAAGAAAAATGTAAAAAGTCACTCTTTAACAAAACATACTCTTATGATGAAAGAATATTTCTAATAAAAATCAAAGGTTCCTTTAATATTGATATATTTCTGTCATGTAAGAACATGTATGTAAGAACATGTTCTTTGAGAACAGGAATTGTGCATATTTAGTGTTCTATCTCTGGCATATTGCTTGGCTCAGAAATAGATGTTAGATGTAATGAATAAAATTAATGAAAAGCATTAGAAAGTAGATTATTTACTCACAGGTAAGGATGACCAAAACGGATATCCTATTAGTGCTGCCAGAGGAATATATTCTCTTTGAAATGCAATCATTTGTGTGAGAAGCAAATATGTCCAGAGTAGTCCCAGGTTGTTAACAATCAGGCCAACCATTATTTGTACGGCCTGGAAGAAAAGAACACCATTGTTAATTACTGATTATTCCAGTCCAACCTGTGAAAAGAATTTACATCAAGAAAAAGCCAAGGTGAGGCCAGCAGGTGGCATGGTGGTTAAGGTGCTGGACTCCCACACAGCCAACTGTTGTTCAAGTCCCAGACCAGGTGGCTCACTTTCTAACTCTCTTTCTCTCTCTGGTGAGTGCACATGCCCTATAACAACTATAAAATGATACTACTACTACTACTAAATAAATTAAATTAAATAAGTAATCCTTAAAAAAAAGCCAAAGTGGAAAAGAAAGATGATGACTTAACATAATTTCAGTTTTCTCAGCATTCAATTCAGAAGAAAAACACTGTTATTATTTCAGAACAGTATGCAAATATAATTATTTCCATATACAATAAAATTATCCTAGGACTCTGGTTTATCTGGCTTGGTTCAGAGGGGTCATGTAGCATGAGCCCTGGAGCCTAGAAAGAATTAATATTTTTCAAGACTTTTCAGTCCTTGAGTTGCCAACAGACTTAAGTAGTATGGTCAATAATCATATCATGCAGATACAGCTCTTATGTTTTATAGGCACTTGGGCTTGTTTTTTGTTTGTTTGTTTTTAATTTTGCCAGAGGGCATGTATGCTCAGTGGAGATGGGGGGAGGGGGTGAGAGAGAGAGAGAGAGAGAGCGCAAGAAAGCATCCCATGGGGGCATGCTCAACTGCAATCGCTTCTCTCTCTCTCATCCCAAGATTTTGGGCATGCATGCTCACACACTGGGTGTGTTTTTCTAACTTTCAGGTCTGGGACTCAAACAATGAGGTTGGGTGTGTGGGATTCAGCTGCCTTAACTATTGGGCCATAGGCTGGCAGAGATTTGTTATTTTGGACCTTATCTCACCTTCTCTTTACCTCCCCAACCTGGTATTTGGACTTTGATTCATTTGGCTTCATTTATCTCCTTAACATCTATAATTGTGATTTCTATTACAGTCCTGGGTCCTTCAGAAATAAGAGTAAAAGAAGGATAATGAACTCCTTGGTTGTCTTTAACTTTTCCAAAGGTCAGTACCTGATTGAGGGTCTTAGATGATTTGTGACCACAACGTCACAAGTCAGCTATAACAGTTTCTGAGTCATAAGAGGAGGACAATTCTAAGTTACCATGCAGCATGTGCTACTATGTCATTGCTGGGCCTTTCACTTAGTTATTGGATAGCTGTTTCTTAGGCGTCCCTCCTTCTGCCACAGCCAAATGAACCACCTTCCAGGCTCCCACCCCCAAATAAATAGGTTAAGTCTGAAAAACTGAAGAAGGTGTATTGGAGCTCAGAACCTGATCCTGCTTCTCCTGCGTCATGGCAACCATATTTCCACAGTGCCTGGGGACTTGGATTCCTTTTTTTCTTTTTTTTGGAGAGGTTTCTGCTATAGGGTGCGTGCGCTCGCCAGACAGAGAGAGACTGAGAGACAGAAAGCGAGAAATCACCCCCCAGGGGGGATGGTCATGCCACAATCCCTTTTCCTCTATTCTCCTCTCGGGATCTTGGGCACGCACGCACACTCGCCTGGGGTGAATTTTAAGCCACCAGGTCTGGGATACGAACTGCGGTTGACTACGTGGGAGTCCAAAGACATAGCCATTATACTAACTGCTGGTTCCCCAGTTAATAAACAACTTTTAAAATTTCAAAAAACTGTATTTTAAGGGCCCCCTAGATAATATCTTAAAATCAGGTAGTTTGATTCCTTCCACTTTTTTCTTAAAAAAAAATTAGCTATTTTAGTTCTTTTGCCTTTCCTCATACATTTTAGATAATCTTACTTATATCTACCAAAATATTGGTGAGATTTTGATAGGAATTATGGCAAACTTGTATGTCAATTTGGGGAACGTTAACATCTTTACTATGTTGAGTTTTATAACCTGCAAACGTGCCTTCTCATTTATGTAACTTTTTTGAATTTTCTTATCATTTTTGGGTAGTTTTCAAAATATAAATTCTGTACATGCTTTGTTAGATTTATTCCTAAGTATTTAATTTTTTGAGGGATTGTAAATAATATCACATTATAAATTTTGGCTTTCGTATTTCTTTGCTATTATATAAAAATGCACTTCATTATCTGTATTGATCTTATATCCTATGACCTTACTGAACTCACTTTTTAGTCCTTTATAATTGCTTGGGAGTCTCTACATAGATCATAGAAACGTTTTTATCATTCTCATTGCTTGGGACTGTCTACATAGATCATAGAAACGTTTTTATCATTCTTTCCAATCTGTATGCTTTTTACTTCTTTTTCTATCCTATTGATCTGGCTAGGGCTTCCAATACTATACTAGTAAGCATGGTGAGAGCAGACATCCTTGCATGGTTCCCTTAGGGGGAAAGAATTCAGTTCTTCAAGATTAAGTATAATGTTGGTTGTAAACTTTTGTAGGCATTCTTCATCAAGTTGAGCAAGTACTCTTGTATTTCAGTTTTTGTTTTGTTTTGTTTTGAGAACTTTTATTATGAGTAAGTGTTGGGTCTTTGCCTATTTTTGCTTATTTTCTGTTTGTTTTGTTTGGCATCAATTGACATGAACAAGTGATATTTCTTTTTTAGGCTATTAATATGGTGGGTCACAGCGACCGACTGTTGAACATTGAAATAGCTTTGTGTACCCAGCAAAGAGATCTTGTTTCTCTTTCACTGCTTTCAAGGTTTTCTGTTTTTGTATTTTTTTTTAGAAGCTTGATTATGTTGTGTCTTAGAATGAGTTTCTTTGATTAGATTGACAAATCCAATCTTGTTTGAGGTTTGCTCAACTTCTTAAATCCACAGGTTTATGATTTTTTGCCAGATTTGGGTAATCTTCATCCATCATTTCTTTGAATTATTTTTCAGTCCTGCTCTTCTTTTTTTTCCCCAAGACTCTAATGTCATAAATGTTAGATAATTTATTATAGTCCTACATGTTCTTGAGGTTCTGTTTATTTTTAATTTTTTTTTGTTTCTTCCCTTCCTGTTGTTCAAATTGATGAACTTTTATTGTTATATCTTAGAGTTTATTGATTCTTTCCTGTCTTTTCCATTCTGCCATGGAGCCGATCCAGTGAATTTTAAAATCTTGGGCCAGCAGATGGCGTGTTGATTAAGGCAACTGAATCCCCTATAACTAACTGGGTGGTTTGAGTCCCAGACCTGGTGTCTTAAAAGTTACTCCAGGAACATGTGTACGTGTACACAAAGTCCCAACAGGAGAATGGAGGAGAAAGGATTGCAGCGTGGCCATCTGCCCTGGGGGATAACTTTTCCCTTTCCCTTTCTCTCTCTCTGTCTCTCTCCAGTGAGTGCATGCAAACCCTATAGCAAACAAACAATAAAATAAAATGAAATAAAATTAAATCTGTTACAATTTTCAGTCATAAAATTTCTCTTTGGTTCTTTATAGCTTCTATTTATTTATTTTTTAAATTTTATGTTCTTTTTTCTGTTTTAAGTACTTCAAAATTACTTTTTGCAACATTTTTGTGATTGTAATTTAAAAATATTTGTCAGATAATTCTAATAATTCTAATACCTGTGTTATCTCGATGTTGCTATCCATTGACCATATTTTCTCATGCAAGTCTAGACTTTCCTAGTTCTTTTTTGATTTTTTTTTTTATTGTTGCTTCTGGACAGTTTGAGTATTATGTTATGAAACTCAAGATATTAGTTAGGATCAGCAATATGGCTAACAGAGAAGCTCCAGACCCTCATTTCCCCATGGAGATATCAAATAAAATAACAGACTGCTAGACCAGCAGTTGGCATAATGGCTCTGTCGCTGGACTCCCATGTAGCCGACCGTGGTTCGAGTCCCGAACCTGGTGGTTTAGACTCATGCCAGGCGTGTGTGTGTGTGTGCGTGCATGTCCAAGAACTTGAGAGGAGAATGGAGGAGAAGGGATTGTCTTTCTGGTGAGCGCACATGCCCTCTAGCAAAAACTTCTGTAGGGGGGGAGGGAAAATTAAAAGAAAAAAAAAAGAAAAGAAATAGTAGCTTGACTAAATAGCTCTGGGAGAGCTCATTATCCATTCATGATAAAAACTCTGAGCAACTAGGAACAGAATGAAACTACTTCAACATAAGAGAGGCCATACATAAAAAGCCCACAGCTAACTACATACTTAATAGTGAAAGACTGACAGTTTTTCCTTTAAGATCTAGAAGAAGATAAGAATGCTCACTTTCACTATTTCTATCCAATATAATACTGGAAGTCATAGATAAATTAGAAAAAGAAAAAGAAATAAAAATTATCCAAATTGAAAAGAAGGGGTAAAGTGATCTCTGGTCACAGAGGACATAATCTTATAAAAGAATCTGTAAAAAAAGTCAGACCTTATAAATGTAGTCAGCAAGGTTGAAGGAAATAGTCAACATACAACAATTAGTTTTCATATACTTGTAATTAACAATTATATAAGAAAATTAAGAAAGTAATTTCATTTATAATAGCAACAAAAAAATAAAATACTTAGGAATAAATTTAACCTAGGAGGTGTAAGACTTCTACAATAAAAACTATAATACAGTGCTGGAAGAAATTAGTTACCAATACATAGAAAGCTACCCATGTTCATGAACTGGGAGACAAATTAAGATGTTGATATTGGAACTGGCAGGTAGTGTGGTGGTTAAGGTGCTGAACTCCCACAGAGCTGACTATGGTTCAAGACCCAGACCTGGCAGCTTGCTTTTTCTTTCTCTCTTTTTCTCTCTATGGTCAAATTACAAATATATAAACAAATAAAAATTTCATAAAAATTTAAAAAAGATATTGATACTACTTTTCAGAGTGATCTACATATTCAATGCAATTCTTACCAAATTGTCAACAGTATTTTTTGAAGAAATAGAATAATTATAAAATTCATATGGGATCAACCATAGTATTACAGCAGTAATGCAATCTCCCATGATGTTGAAGCCATATATAAGGTCCTGAGTTCATGTCCCAAGGTCTCCCTGTGCATGTGTGTGTACACCTGTGGTCCTGGATGACTAAGGCCAGGGGAAGAATTGTGGTGTAAAGATTCTGTGAGGGAACCAGCAGTTAGTGTAATGGCTATGTCGCTGGACTCCCATGTAGTCGACCATGGTTCGCATCCCTGACCCAGTGGCTTAAAACTCATCTTGCGTGTGCGTGCGTGCGTGCGTGCCCAAGATCCCGAGAGGAGAATGGAGGAGAAGGGATTGCGGCGTGACCATCCCCTCTGGGGAGTGATTTCTCGTTTTCTGTCTCTATGTCTCTCTCTGTCTGTCTGGCGAGCGCACGTGCCCTATAGTGAAAACCTCTCAAAAAAAAAAAAAAGATTCTGTGAGGGTAGCTTTCTTTCTCTCTCTTTCAAGAAATAAATAAACTTTAAAAAATCTATATGCAATCTCAAGGTACCCTAATAGCTAATAATCTTGAAAAAGAATAGTGAAGTTGAATGTCTTACACTTTCTGATTTCAAGTTATTATAAAACTATGGTATAATAAAAAATGCTGTGGTACTGGCATAAAGGCAGACACACAGACCAATGTAATACAATGGAAATCCCACAAATAATTCTTTGCATATTTAGTCAAATGATTTTTGACAAAGGTGCCAAGACTATTCAATGTAGAAAAGATAGTCATCAATAAATGGTGTTGGGAAAGCTGAATATCCACATACAAAAGAATGAAACTGGACCCTTACCTTCTACCATTTACAGAAATTAATTCAAAATAGATTAAAGATCTAAAAGTAAAAATCTAAAACTGTAAAACTCTTAGAAAAAAATATAAGAGGAATACTTCATGACAATGAATTAAACAATGATTTCTCAGATATGACACCAAGAGTACATGTGAAAAAAGAAAAAAATAGATTCATTTGACTGCAGCAAAATTAGAAACTTCTGTAGATCAAAGGACACAATCGGTAGAATGAAAAAAAAATCACACAATGGAGAAAATATTTGTAAAGGATCTATCTTGGGACCAGCAGACAGCACAATGGTTACAATGCTGGACTCCCATATAGTTGACTGCAGTTTGAGTACGGGACTGGGTGACTGAAAACTCATGCCGTGTGTGTGTGTGTGTGTGCCTAAGATCCTAAGAGGAGAATGGAGGAGAAGGGATATGGCATGGCCATCCTCCCCTGGGGGGTGATTCTTTGCTTTCTGTCTCTCAGGTCTTTCTCTGTCTCTCCAGAAAGTGCACATGCCGTGTAGCAAAAAATACATATATATTGTATGTGTGTATCAATATCTATATCTATCAGAAGATTAATTTCTAGAATATATAAAAAACTCCTACCACTACACAACAAAAACAAATAAACCAGTTAATAAATGAGCAAAGCTATTTATGTGATATTCCTCCAAAGAAGGAAAATTCCTAATCATTAGGTAAATACCTATCAAAATCATAATGCGATAACACCTCATTCGCATAACCACTATCATAAAAACAGAAATTAATGAGTGTTGAGAGGATGGGGAGAAGTTATGGTGCACCCTTTGTATACTGTTGATGAGAATGTAAAAATAGTGCGTCCATGTCCATTAAGATAACAATTTGTCTGGGGCCAGCAGATGGCATGATGATTGGGTACTGGACTCCCACATGGCTGCCCATAGTTTGAGTCCCAGACCTGTGGCTTGCTTTCTCTTTCTTTCTCTCTCTGGTCAAATTAAAAATATATAATAACAATAAATAATATGAAATAAATGATTCTTTAAAAACATAATTTGCCAGCTTCTTAAAATTTAAACACAAACTTTAAAAAAAAAACAATTTGCCAGCTTCTTAAAATTTAAACACAAATAATAAATTTATTCCTAGGTATATACAAAATATAATTGAAAGCAGGGGCTCAAAGTGATATTTAGACACCACACTCATTGCAGCATTATTCACAATAGCCAAAAGATGAAAGCAACCCAAGTGTCCATTGATGGATGAGTGCATAAACAAAATGCGGTATGCAAAAACAATTTGCCAGCTTCTTAAAATTTAAACACAAATAATAAATTTATTCCTAGGTATATACAAAATATAATTGAAAGCAGGGGCTCAAAGTGATATTTAGACACCACACTCATTGCAGCATTATTCACAATAGCCAAAAGATGAAAGCAACCCAAGTGTCCATTGATGGATGAGTGCATAAACAAAATGCGGTATGCATATGCAGGAGACTATTATTGCAACTTTAAAAAGGAAGAAGATTATGGCAGATACTATAAGAAGGATGGACCTTTATGACATTATGCTAGATGAAATAAGTTAGTCACAAAACAAGAAGTGTTGCATAATTCCACTTATTTGAAGCATCTACGGTAGTCAAATTCATAAATACAGAAAGTGGAATAAGGATTGCTAGAGGTTGTGAAAGGGCGGTGTGGGGAATTTTTGCTTAATAGGTACAGAGTTTTTGTCTTGCAATATTAAGAGTTCTGTGGATGGACGGTGGTGATGGGAGCACAATATGAATATAATCAATGCCACTAAACTGTTTACTAAAGAATGCTTTTAATTATAAATCGTATGTTATGTGTATTTTACCACAAATTTTAAAAGATGTTACTTAATTCAGTTTTATCAGAGATCCTCTGATACTGTGCTGGGAAGGACTTGAGGGTCATAACCTTGCTATTCCTAAGTGGGAGTGGAATTTACCACACATTTTAAAAGATGTTACTTAATTTGTTTTATCGGAGATCCTCTGATACTGTGCTGGGAAGGACTTGAGGGTCATAACCTTGCTATTCCTAAGTGGGAGTGGAAGGTTAGATTATCCAGTTAGCCTTATCTGACACCTAGCAGAAAGGGGATCTTAGTATTGGTGGATGTATATGGAAGTTCAGACTTCTCTACAAAAGTCTTCTGATACTACCATATGGGGCTTGGAGGAGAATCACTGTGTAATGAATCGCACACATGGCCTCTCCTGACACTGAGGAGGCTAGGACAGAAAGCTCCTTACTGGTATGAGGTGATGAAAATCTCATATTCCCATTAAGCCACCTCTGACACCACCCTGGGTAAAGGGAAGGATGCCTTGTTATAGCAAAATGATGGTCCAAGTCTAGGTTCCTACGTGGACCTCGCTCATGGAGGTGGGTGTGGAGTCATAGTTTTTCCTATTGTGTTTGTCTAGAGCAGGGATAGCTGCTCTCTAAAAGTTTTTCTGCCTTGCTAGGCTGTCTCTTTTCTGAATCTATAACTAGAAAAAATGTCTTTCTTTGACTTTTTTTTTCTTTATGCTTATTAATGTTTTGAGGTTTTAGACTTCTTGTACACCCAGTTTGAGCTACATTAAGTAAAAAGAAAACCTAGGAAACTTGGGCCAGCAGGTGGCTTGGTGGTTAAAGTGCTGGACTCCCACATGGCTGACCATAGTTTGAGTCCTAGACCTGGCAACTTGCTTTCTCTCTTTCCTCTGTCTCTTTCTGTTCACAATATAAAAAATAATTATATAGTAAATTAAATAAAGAGAGAAAGAAAGAGGGAAGGAAAAAATAAAAGAAAGAAAACCAGGAAACTCGCTATCATGTCATTCTTTAAATTCCAAAGTCCCTAGTTATTCTTTCTTCTTATCTGTACTTTTTAATATTTATCTGAAGTTTTAGCTGTAGTTAGGAGGGAATGGGAAGACGTGTATCTACTCCAACTTGTCCAGAACTGGAAGTTAGAATGTTTTATTAGATGAAATGAGACTTGATCCCTGTCTTCCTGGATAATAGTAGAACTCATTAGAAGGATAATAATGTAGACAGTTAACAGACTTGCTTATTTGCAGACACACTTCAACTGTCCCTCCCCACTACCCAGACCACTTCAGTGGATAAGGGGCTTAGAGACCCAGATCTTTAACAGTGTAACATTGAGAATGAGGAAAGGAAATAATGGGTTCATTACTTGCTTTGTGTAAGGCTCTTTGTTCTGGCATGGGAATGGGTATATTTTAAGTTAAGTGAAGGAAGTAATGGACTTGAGATGTTGGGAATTTTTTTGAATCAAGCTTTAGTTAATCTGGTTTGATTCCTAATCTAGTTCCATTATCCAATAGTCTGAGTGAATAATACAATGAGTAGATAATGCAAAATCACCCAGCAATATAGGTGAATACTTGCTATATTTGATGGGGTTGACTTGGAAGCCAGTGGCAAGTCTGGGGATGATGTTGGCAGCATAGAGCTATTATGACCACTGTCTGCAACGCGCTATGGTCTGCACCTTCTCCTGAATGTAGTTCTCTCAATCTGATAGCTTATTTAGGACCATATTATCAACTTAGCTTGAAATAATTTATAAATATCCTAAAGAGTTTTTCTACCCACTTTCAGACTCAGTGTATTCTTTCTGAAAGTATAGGTAGTTTGAGATGAAGTTGCGCCATTTAAATGTAGTTGATAGATTTATAATGTTGACTTTAATTAACATTACCCAAATATATCCTTTATGTGTTCAGGCTGCATGTGGAAATGCACAGGCTATGTAACCATTTCAGGACACTTTTATTAACTCTCTTGGGGAGTTCATAACAGAATGAAAGCCTTCTCTTTTCATATTGAGATATTGCAACACTTGTAGCCATTTATTCACTCAAGTCATTCTTACCCCCAAGGTTCTTGTCTCCTTTCTTATCCTCAGAGGATTGGATCTTGTTGCATTTTCCACTAAAATACAATAGAGAAATGAGAGAATAACTGTGCTCCTTTTCTGTGGGAAAATATGAAGACAAAATAATATTCTCTTGAGTAAGATACATAAACATGAGGGGGAAATCTAATTCTACAGGTGTTTATTCTTATATATTTATAGTTCTTTGAGAAAACTTTTTGCAAGCCACCAATTTACTATATTGATAAAATGCAGCAGTTAACTCCCAAATAGTTCTGTTAATTTATCAGACTTAATTTAGACTGTAGTAAATAGTACGTGGTAATCGCCCCGATCACATCAATTTCTTTAATGATTTATATTCCCATTTTTATAGGGTTAGTAAAATTGGACTTCAGGTTATTCTCTTCCTCATTGTTTTTTCCTTCCACATTAAAGTCTGGTTGAGGGGTGTCTGACTGGAAGAGCCCATGTCACCCAGCTACCAGCAGCAGGGGAGACTGGAAAACAAAGGGCTAGGTAGTATACTGTGGAAAGATGGGCTTCACAAATGAGAGACCAATACAGAAATGGAAAAGGTGTTGAATAGACAAGAAAATTGCAACTCACAGCTATTATTGAAAATTGTGGATAATCTTTGTTATTCTGTTATTTTGTATCACTCACTTCTCCCCGGCTTTCATATTTAACATTCATGAGAATTATTCCTATTCCCAGCAGACTGGGCTAAAGGTGCATATCTAACTCACACTGGGCCTATCACATACTCTTTCCAAATTGTTTGGACTGGCCTCTTGAGGAAGAGTTGGGAAAACTTAGGAGCAGTGGCATTACCATGCTCTGCCTTAACAGACACAGTTGTAGTCACAGTAAATTTTGAGGGTTGAAAGAATAGCAAGGACACTCAGAGAAAAGCAGAGATGGACAAGGAGCAGAACTCTCCAAGTTTCTGATGGTTTTCAATATTCTAATTCCAATTTCTTTTGGAAACTTGGCTGGATGCTGGTATAAACATAGCTGTTCATATATTTCCATATATGTATTTTAAATTTGCTAAAGCTAGAAGAGATAGTTTTTATTTCTTGCCAGCAAAAAGTGTTATGTTTTTGGTTTATTTATAAATCTTCTTCTAATGTTGCTCATACGGCTTTAACAATCTACTCTCCCCTGTCTCCAATGTCTGATGGTTCTTTTTCCCTTTTTGCTTCACCTTCTCAGCCATATTAAAAGTTTAAGATCTTGGGTTCAAATTGTCCATTTATAAATTTTCATTTCTATTTGTAAAAACCATAAACTCTTAAGGTTTAAGTTGCCCTTTTGACGGCCTACTGACACTTGAAATTGAGAAAATATAGAAAGGTTTAATGAAAAGACAAATGAGTTCACATCTTACCAGTTACTCTGTGACCTTATCTACATAATTTAGTTTTTCAAAACCTCTTTCCTCAGCAAGAAGAAAACAAAACAAACCAACAAACAAAACCTGGAGGGTTGTACTGCGGAATAAATAAGATAAATTGATACAAAATTGAATCTCAAACAAGAGGAACTAGCCTTAGCAACACTTGCCTTCAGGGTGGTCTACATCGGGCCATGGATCCTTAACCTGACTTGATCGCAGAGACAGACCTGCGTGATCCCTCTGGAGGTGCCTTTCCTTCTGGCCCTCCAGGTCTGGTTTCTCTGGAGGCGGCCCCTACTCGGTGGACGCTGTTTCTTGGGTAGCACCCTTCATCCCCCTCGCGCGGTTCCAACGCTGCGGTTGTGGCCAAGAGCGTGGCCACGAAGGGAACTGCGTGGGTCCTCGCGCTGACACCAGGGCGTGGACACCTACGCGCTGGAGGCCTGGAAACTCGGTTGAGCCTCCCAGCTTCCTGGACAGCGGCAGGGGATGAGGTGTGGGAGAGGATGCAGACACAGATGAACCCTTTCCTGCTGGTGCTAGCCATACTCTGCTGATATGGGCTGCAACGGACTCCAAGGGCAGGCTTATTCCCTGGCTGCCTCTGCAAGACTTCACCAAACAAGTGCCTTCTTGTCCATTTTTCATTAGATGAAGTGTCAACGGAAGTCATCCTGCATTTAATCCCCACAAGGTCTAGAGGTAAAAGTACTGGTCAATAAACTTGGGTCCAGGTCCTTACACTTTTTATTAGATAAATGCATGCTTGAGTAAAATACTGTCCTTCCCTGTTCCTTAGCTTTTTTTTTTTTTTTTTTTTTTTTAAAAATTGAAAAAAGTATTAAATACTATTT